CATAATCCTTATCGAATTTATTGTAAAACTATTGAATTCACACACTTAAGAAGCAGAGTAAATGAAATATTTGATAAGAACTTTTTTAATCCAAAAGGAAATTGGTGTGCCTTTTATATAGTCAGTGCAATTAAAAATAAAGTCATAGGATTCGCTTTACACCAACTAAGCTATCACAGTGCAAATAGGCAGAAAGTGACACAGTGAATAAAATTAATGCATGAGGTGAGACGCTGAGACGGACTGTCCCCGAAGCTGAGGAGTTTTCTTTCCAGCATCCTCCTCTCTGACACACTACCTCAGCTACCTTTACCCCGCTTCTCTAGGAGGCTGCACACACACACACACACACACACACACATACATATTTCTGTCATCTGGAAAGTCCATAATCGTTAGTCAGGAAAATCAAACTTACTATTTTAAACAACTTACTCTCTAAATAGCAATTTATGTTCTATCTCTAAAATGGGGTTTATTATTATTAATTTTATAAAGTTAGCTTTTAAAATTAACACACATGAAGAGAATCTGACAACAGTTCATGAGTAACAGGATTCTTTTCCAATACACTTATTTAAATACGCCACCACAATAACTGTATTCACGGCTACACAATAGTAGTGACATTGAAAGTTAAGGAAGGAAGTTTAATTTCCTGGCTCCTCTGAAGGATGTCCGTCTGCAACGGGCTGGAGGTGCTTTGAAAAACTGACCAGTTAAACAGTTTTGTGGACATGTGTTTTATTTTCTTTCTTTTTTGTTTGAATGCATCAGTAAAATATAATACTAAGCTAAAAAAAAAATAATTCTACTGTTAAACTTAATATTAATTCCATGCACCTTTTTTTTTTCTTGCTTATTAATTCTCTTTACACTCATATTGATAATTTATATTCTGGTTTTTCTACAATTTTATAAAAACAGCAGATTTTGTTATGAAAATCAAGCAAAAAACAAAACAGTCTTCTGCTGAAATTTTGTATCACGGTAGATTTTTTTTTTTCTGGTAAAGTTTTGATAGATACTTCATCTCCACCGATATCCTCATAGTGGCTACCAGTCATCTCAGCTTCTTGAGTTCTATTAAAAAACAACAACAACACAATAAACAGAACTATGAGTGACATGTATTACAGACACTTGGGATTTTATGGAAACATTTTTGAATGTTCTATTGTAGCACTACAGCCAGTGTAGAATTTTTGTCATTGTATGTCATTGCATTGGTTGTATATCTCCACTACTGAGGGAAGATGTAGTATACACGTATGTCTCTCCAGACTTGTAATATATTTAAAGAAAACTGAAGAAAGTACAAACAGTTGATACTTCTTTAAATACAGAATCTAACACACAAAGACTCAAATTATCAAAACAGCAGCACATAAATTATGTATCCATGGTTCTCTAATGTAAGTGCAGGCTGCTGGCCGATAGCCTCCCCTATGTGTCACAATAAAAGACTGCACTATGATATACTCATTCATCAACAATTAATGTCAGAAACCCACATAGAACTTAAACAAGGCCAGGGGAGCACTTCTCTTGTACATAAGTTATTTTCTTGAATACCTAATTCAAGTTTCCAATTGCAATTTTATTGACCTTTGTGACTTTCAGCTGTTTGCCCACTGTCACAGAACGAGACTGAACCCATGCTATAGTGTGGACTTCATCAACATTCATACATCACTTTGCTATTTTCTCAGCATCAAAAATAAAAATGTATGCGCAATGACTCCAAATGGGAGACTTCATGAAATTCCAGTTGTGCTACATTACAAATAAACTTTACATATTAAACGCAACTAAAAATAAAAAATCAGTCATTTATTTTATGCCCTATATTTATAATTAAGTGTATTAAAGAAACAAAACTCTTTTAAGGCTTTAAACTTCTCTTACTCCACTTTCTGCTGCCCCCATCGCTTCCTCTGAGCTCTATAGCTTATTTTGGGTATTTCTGCTTGTGGCTTCATCACCTAAAAACAGAGCATTAGATTTCGTTACACTTTTTTGCATGCTTTTCCATATTTGAATGTAAGGATCTCTCTGTGTATATGAATGTAAATGATACCTTTAACTGTGGAACATCTGTACTTATAAAGAATAAACAGGACACACATCAATAGGAGCACAGGGGTTACAATGTAAACCACATAGAGTGCTGAAAAAAATAAAATAAAACAGAACACTGTAAAAGCATTTTTAAAGCAAGCATTTTCCAAAGCATTCAATTTTCACAGGCATAACAGCAGAACTGTGGGCTTAGTTTACATGATGGTTTCATTATCTTTTTTATTAAAAGTTATGTGTATTTTAACTTAACTGTTGCATTGATGCACACATCCATACCTATTTGATTTTTAATTTGAATTAGATTTTTTTTTTTTTTTACATTAGCTTGAATTAAAGGCCCAGCATGCAATCAAAACCACATGTTAACCCTAATTATAGTGTGGAAATGTACTTTTTTTGCTATTACTGTTGTCATAGCATTTAGCAGCTAACTAACAGACACATATACTGTATCTTTAGCTTTACCTGGGTTATTTGTTTCCAGAGTTCCCAGTGTGTGCTGCAGAAAAACTGTAGGAGAAAGCAACTTTATTTCAACAATGACATTAAAAAAATGACCACGGCAACTCACACATCTGTGGGATTGCTCTGTTCTATGTTTCAGCCTATGATGTTGATGCCAACATGGCACGACTGAAGGGATATTTTGAATCCTACAAGAATCCCAAACTGTTGTTCCAGTCAACTGAATCTAACTAAAAATTAAAATATAGGAAAAAGGCACAACCACTGTCTAGATCAGCACTACTGTTGCAACGCAACCAGCAATACCGTCTTCAGTTCCTTGCTATACTCCTAGATGCTGAGAGCAAAGATTTTGTTCTAGATTTCATGCTGCCAAAAAGTCCTTCACAATTGTTTTACTGTAGCAAAGAGAAGTGTACAGTACACAGTGATATGACCCTCAAAGTTGACACAGTTTTCAACACAACTTATTCATATTCAATAAACCTGTGCATATTGTGTTGATAAAACATGACTGACACATGTTTAGATGAAGTAGGTTGGGCTTTTGGAATTTTTTAATCCTTCACAATTTTGTCAATTTATTCCAACACTATTCAATAACTTTTACCCCATTCATTAATTGTCACTTGGTCACTTAAATACTACATGTTGTCTTCATATTACATAATGTTCAACAAAGTCTAGAGTCTGGTTAACATAAAAATTTAATGGGTGTACAACAACTTCCATCTTCCTTTATCTGGATTGCAGGGGGGCTGGGCCATAACCCGGAAGTGATAGGGTAAGAGGCAGGGTACACTCTGGAGAGCTTGCTAGTCTATCACATGGAGACAAACAATCATTTGCACTCACATTCACGCTTATGGATTATTTAGAATCACCAATTAATCTATCTCTAATAACTGCATGACTTTTAACTGTGGGAGGAAACCAGAATACCCAGAGGGAACCAACTGCACACTAGCAAGATTGTGGATTTGAACCCAGAACCTTCTTGCTTGAGGCAACAGCACTAACCACCGCGCCACAAGCTGTCAACTGAGGCTTAACAAAAGTAGGAAAGCTATGAATTACAAGGCTTGATGCAGAATTTTCTGTACGTTTTTGTCCTTGACAGGTTAAACCACAATAAATAGCGATAGCATACACGTGGTGTGTGTGTAGTTTTCTGCTTTTCATAACTCCAGGTAACTAACCACTCTTACTAGATCCTATCATGTCATCTCAACAAGAACAAATTAAGTTGTTGAATTTCAAACAGATCCTACATGATTTAATTACATTCACCATAGAAACATGAAATTATTTTGTTCAAATTACAAGGTAGACTTTTGTAAATGTGACAACCACCCAATTTTATGTTTTTCAGTGTATATATATTTAAAATTCCACAGTTTTACTCCTCATTACATCAATCAGATATTCAAACAAAAAATTGTTCAAAAATAAATTCTACGCGAGTGTGACATTCAGAGTGTTTATGGAGTTTAAAGATGCTTTTCTGCCCAAAAAATGTAATGTAGCTGTTGCTTGTTCTCAAGATGTTATGAGAGTTTATAAATGATGAAGAAATAAGGCTATTAAAAGGCAAAAAAGTGCACTGATGGCCTTTTCATTGTATAAAGACATGAACGACTAGCAAAAATGACTTACAATTTTGAACATATGGAATAGGAATTGACTGCTAAAGAGCAAACAATATAAGTGTTAATAGTTAATTCAGCAAAACGAATTTTCTGTAATTGTAAACAAATATGGTTTAAAACAGCACTTATGTTGCTGCCATAGTGTAACTAGGGTTTAGAACAGTAACCTTAATCAGTACATCACAGAGTCTGTGGCGTCACTACTTTGAAAGTGACCATTCACACTAGGATCCCTCATACTTTGGCTTCCACTCGTCAAACTATATAAAGCTAGCTGATTGGAGAAGCCAGAATTCAGCTTCAAAAGCAGAGTTACCTGCAACTGCATGAATCTGCAAACAGATGACTTCTTGCATGTGTGGTTGCTGAGTTCTTAACACTGATTTTGAATTTACATGCAAAGAATTTAATTCACAAGTGGCAGTGAATACCTGTTCCAACAATTATTATTTCAGAGTGATTTACCAGCAGCGGTAAGTTTGTGGTTCGACAACTGAACTGATCTCAAGTAAGAACATAGCATACAAATCTATTCATTACATTATCCCGTGTAAAAGTGTCCAACTCACCCGACAGCTCCATCTTGGTGTAGTTTCCAACTTTCCATTGTGAATCTGACCCACACCAGTATGTCCCAGCATCAGCTGCTTCCAGCTCTGCAATCATCACCAAGAAAGAGCTGGAAGAAACATTATCATGGACAGTGAACCTGCTTTGATTGGTCATGTCCATGCAGCTGTTGTGCTGGTCTCCCTTACAGAGGAACTTCCTGTTATCC